ATTTCCTTTCTTTATATCTTCCTGTATTGATCTCTGCCTTTTCATCTCTTGAAAAAAAAAAGGAAAGACATGAAAAATTATTTCAATACTTGATATTTGTGTATTGAAAAGTGGGCTCACATTATTATTTATTGTTAAATATTATTAAGTCATAAGGTTGGGAATGGAGGAGAATATTTTAAATGAATATTTCTGCCTACCTGGTCTGTTTTCAACGTATTGACTGAATGACTGAAGCTGCGTTTTTCTGACTGTTGAATCCTTGCTGAAAACAACAGGACTTCTAAAACGTTCAGCTGCTTTTTGTAATCGCTCAGCATGTTCCTCTGTCTCATTCTGCCAGAAAAAACAAAACAAAAACAAAACTGAGCATCATATTCTATTGTTTAGAAATGCAAACAGGGTAATTGGAAAGGTGTATTTCAGGAGAAGAGTATTATGGAGAGAAAACCCCACTACTCAGATGCTTGTGTCAGATAACAATTTTACTATGAGCCAAAAATGTATGGAACCCCCGAAAAGAGATTTTGGCAAAATAAACCCCTTTGGCTATTAATCTGGCAATAGCACTTCAGCTGTGGTTGTCTGCTAAGATCTGTTAGCAACATCCACTGTGACTTGAGGCAAAGCTGGACTCAGAAGATTACCATTTGCCAACTGGATACCCAGAGCACCATGTATATATTAGGGTTCCTAGAACAGCATGTATATTTTTAAACATCGTATCTCTGTTTAATTTACATACTGCCTCTAGTCTTTTGCACACATGATTTGCCCCAGTAAAAAATTGTGTCATTCTGAATGGAGCCACATATTTTTTCCTGAATAATATGAAGGATCATTTCTAATGTTATATCCATTGAGATGACTACTGCTTGATGACAAATAAAAAGTAAGGTTATAGTCCCAGTGAACTATGTTTCATTAGTTATAACTTTATGAATCCAGATTTATAAATAAAACCTTTGACAGCTCCGGAAACTACAATTACCATTTTCCGGAGCTTCCTATGGTAATACATTCAAATGGGTCTATCAATGTGAAATATCCCAGAAGACTAAACCATTGCCGTGTGTGGAAACTGCAGATACCGAGATGCTGTGTACCAAACAAATATTTCATTTTATACCTAATCTATTATTATTTTTATTAAGTGTTTTGAAAGTAAATAGGGAAAGGCTAAGATGCATGACTAATAGCTAAGCCTGCTGAATGCTGAAACTGGTTATCAAAAGCTACCAAGACTTTGCCCTTCCTCTGCATTGAGACAATTGGTAATGAGGGAGTTCTCCAATGGCCTATTCTCTAGCCTCAAGGAGGCCTGGGATACAGAATTCTCCAGGGAAGGTAACAGTTTATCCTTTTCCACAAACACAGAATGCCTATTTATAAATGTGTAAACTGCATTTTATTAGAAACATAAATCCAAGTCAATGCTGAAAGCTCTAAGAGAACAGATGGACATATTTTTTCATGCAGCATTAAAGAAAGTGTTCGAATCCAGCTATACTTATTGTTGCACTTACTAAAAAAAAAAAAGGGGGGGGGAGGGGAACAGAACAGAAATGAAAGATCCTCTCCTTCATACAAATGTGTGAAATTAGAACAAAAACTATTTTGCTGGTGTGTGAGAGGGTGCCATCTTAACTGAATGAAATTGTCCTAATAGAGGGAACTAGTCAGCCATTTATGGAGCTAATTTTTTTAAAAGCATCCCTCATTCTAGAATTATTTTTTTCAACAATCCAGATGCTATGATTTCATTCTTCAAAGAAAAGGATCTCTTCGAGTTCTTCATACAATATCCATCTGACAGTCGAAATGCAAGTCTTTAGTAAAATAAACAAACATGGCTAATTTTTTAGGCCTGGCAACATGTTAAAATATCAGTGTGATTAGCCAGTAAATCCCATTTTAAGAAGCCTTTTTATGACTAGGGACTTCTGCCACTTTACAAATGTATTCCTCTAAGCCCACTAATTCAGTTAGCCTTTTCAATCCATTGTATTATTCCAAGGCCAGCTTCATTTTGCATTAAATCCACTGCAGAAAGCTAAATTGAACGCAAAAAATCAGACTTGATCCAAGCTTCTCTTTGTTCAAAGATAGAGACTGAAAGCCCTCTGCTGCTGCTGCTGCTGCTGCACACTTTCATCACCAATTTATCGGAACCGACAGTGTAAAGGAAAAAGCAATGAAAGTCATTGTTTTGAGACTTCAAAGCATCTCTGTATCTGGGGAAGGAAATCCTTTCACTCAGCAGGGCATGCACCCCCAGTCTGCAGGTGGGTGAAAAGTTATACAAGTGGACTGTACTCACAGCCATCCAAATCTTTTCCCTAAGGAGTAATAGCTATGACTAATGAAGACAATAAGCTGAGTAGATGCACCAACAAATCTATCAAAGCCTATGTACATAGAGAGAATTTCCTGCCACTGACAAATAATATGGCAGAGTGCTTCAACTATCTAAGACACAAATGTAATTGGCATATTAAAATCATTTATGCAAAAGTTTAAAGATGTCCCTAAAGGAAGAAGAAATAGTAATTCTTAAAGTTACTTAAAATAGGCCCCCCAAAAGCTCTACCTCACATTAATGAACTAGCTTAAGAAGGAAGAGGATACAATAATGACTTTGATGTTGAAATATATTTTCAGATATGTATTGGAGTAATAACTTTATTCAGACCAAGTTAATATTACAAAACTCTGCCAGTTTAATATTGCTAACTTTGACTTAGCCAGTAATATGCATTTCAGTATTTTTCACACAGCCAATACACCCATAAAGAAAAATGAATTTTAATTGAAATAAAAGATTACCAAAATATATTATTGCACAGCATAATAGCCAAATGAAGCCATTGCTAGTTAAATAACCAAGTGCAATTATGAAATATCTGTCAATACATAGCCAAAATATAATTCAAATCTCTTTATATGGCTACAAAAACTGGTTTTACAGCACTGTAAACATTGAAGAACTTATTAAAAAATGGTCATTCTTCACTATTAAATGCAAATCAGAATCCAAAATGCACAGGTATTACGGGAAAAGGATTTTTTTATGTTAAACTTACCGTAAACATTGGCTCGGTGTTATCAGAAACTGGTTTTGGAGCTGTGCTGGTAAGTGAATTTGCCACCTGTGGCTGAGCGTCTATGAGTTTCTTCAGCTTCAAATCCACCAACTTGCTGTTTTGCTCAACTATATATGTGAAGACCACAGCACAATGCAGAGAAAGAGAGAGAGATGCGTTTAAATGCAGTTACTATAATAATGCATCTAATTAAAAAAACAGTATTTGCATTGCTCTAGTTGTAATCTTTAAATTAAAACTGATATGGAAATCAAATACAGAACTGAGAACTTAAGAGATACTACAGCAAATGTATTGTGGAGGTGGTTAAAAAATAAAACTGAATCCTAACAATACATTTTAAAAATGGATTCTTCGTAGCGTTTTTCCTGCCTTCATTTCTTTGCAACCAAGTTATTTTAAGGTTCACAGTGTATTATGGCCAATAATTAATACATTTATATAAATGAAATCCAACTGAATTTATTTAGAAATAAAGTTATTTAGGGCTAAAGATGTCAAATTAATTTTATCAATATGGCTAGTAAAGTCTTTTTCTTGGAATATGCACTTACATAACGTTTTAAATTTTATAATTAAACATCAATTCTAAATATATTTTCTTTCAATTAATTTCTGCATAACTCAGAACTTGGACAAGTCATATTTCAGCAGCACATATTGATAAGCTGTTTAACAAATAGCCTAATTAGATAAAATTTGATCCATGTATATGTTCATTATTTAGGTGATCTGAAATATGAAATAGCCATTTGAATGAAGATATCCAATACTAAAGACATAACTTTTTTCTAAATATTACTCAGATAAAAGTTATAGCATAATAAAGATCTTTAATATATGTTATAAAATTTAGAACTATATCTTGGCCTATACTTGTCCTCTCTAGTTTGGCTTGAAAGTTGAAAATGTTATTATGCTATCTGTTTATTCATAGTACTGTTCTCACCCTAATTTATTCTTCTGTAACCTGGTGCCCTCCAGACTGACATTTTCATTGGAATTAATGAGAATTGTAGTCCAGCATTTCTGAAGAGCATAGTACTCAAGAAGGTTGTCCTGATCGATTATTTAAGGAAGATGGCAGTTTCAAGATTAGTTGGATTGCTTTTAGAAATTTTGCTTAATTACTGGCAAAGTGTAGTAATTATAATCAGTTTCAGCCTTGCCATGCTGGAATTAGTGAGAGACAAAGCCACCTATTTATGTACAGTATAGCGGTATTTCTAAACCTTTGCAAGTTTAAGATGGGTGGACATCAACTCTCACAATTCCTTAGCCAGTATAGGGAGAAACACTTATAGTATAATATTATATGAAGAATGTACACTGAACAAACTCCATGCTTTTTCAAATGAAACTAAACATTATTTATTTATAGATTCATGTCTAATTTTTCAGCTAAAATAATGGCTGAAGGCCATTTAATAGACACAACATTTTATAGTCTTATCTCATTAATGCTTGACCAGTGTGTCTTTATTTTTACTTGACAGATCAGGAATTATGGCTGAAATGGTTTGTCAGGGTCTGCTTGATCCAGAGTTTGAACTCAGTCTTCTAACTATATGTGTAATAGCAACATTCATTTCTCCATCAACACTATATGAAAAAGCGAGAATATAAACTCTCACTATATACTGTAGGTTATAGTAAGGTAGGCCACTGTGAACCAAAGAAGATATAATGCTGGAAGATCTTGATCATTTCTCCTGCCATTTTTAACACTTTTAATAGCAGCTGCAGTGGAGTAGGGAGAGGAAAATCAGATTAAAACCATGGCACTGAGGATATGTGTGTGAATCCTTTCAACTTGAGTTGCTTATCCAATGCCTTCCTCCCCCTCCAGTGCTGCAGCCATAATCCAATCGCCTAGCTTTCAAAAAGTGAGGATCTGATTACAGCTCCCTTGATATCCTGTCTAGTTATATGATTGTAACATTCAAAGTTCAAACAGCAAAATATACTCCTTATTGTAGAAATAGAAAAGACTGAAATCCTTCACTGAAGACCTTCCCTTAACAAAATTACTACTCATATATTAAATGATTTTAAGAGGTGGAAAATTAGGAACTACTGTGTTAAATGAATCTGAATGTTTCCAGTTTAAATCTTGCCAAAATTGAATTCTTTACGTGGCCTTTAGGCAACCAAGTTGAATGTGCTTCAACTTTCCTTCTGCTCTAACAGAGTTCTAAGAATTATGACAAAAGCACTCTGAATATGCTAAAGGGCCAGATATTAGTGAAATAAGAGAAAATGTCTTCACTCCACAAAAACAAATGGAAGGATATGAAGATGATTGTAAGAAAAGAACTATGACCTCAGTCACAATTTCCTGATCGTGAACATTCCTCCCTGCCCGCCTCCCTCCAGCAAAAGAAGCCCTTTGTGAGAAACTCAGTACCTGGCTTTTTACTGCAAATATTCTAGGAAAATTAAGTACCAAGTTCTGTTTTACAGCAAACACAATAGTTTGACAGAAATCCAGAAAAACCACCAATCTTCAATGCTACCTCTCTCTCTCTCTCTCTCTCTCTTTGCTAAGCTGAACATGTTAATTACTAAAAGGTTTTCCCTTCAATAAATTGTTTCTTCCACTATAAAGTGAATACAAATGAATCTGATTTCAGACCAAATTGCAGTGAATATAGTTTAGGAGAGGAGAAAATGTATACTAAATATTATTGCCAAAAAGAAGGGGAAATAAAGAAAAGGCCAACAACATCATAAAGAGTCCCTATATCTGGAAGCTCATATGTTATTGCAATGCACTTTGTAGCCCAGAAGGAAAACCTGTCTTTTGTAGATTCAACTTGAAGAAGTTTTAAAGTAGAATGCCATTATTTCTTTCAGAGAGATTTACTTTCAGAGAGATTACTTTCACGGTTATTAGTGAATAACAAGGTTTGTTTGTTTGCTATTTCCATTCAGAGGCTGCCTGATTCCAGAGTGACTCTGGATAACTTATAAACAAAAAAATTAAAAGAAAACAAGGTATATTTAAAAAAGAAGAAGACAGAACTAAAAACCTGACAAAAATCTAAACAGCAAAACAAACAAAACAAACAAACAAAACCAAATTAACTGCCATCCTATAACCAGAGTGTAGCAGAGTGTGGAAAGTCAAATGAAAGGGAGCATATATGTTAGACTTAAAGGTTTTACAAGAGTCATTCAATTTTTTTTGTCCAACTATGGTTACTTTGGAGCTCATTACATAGAGCCTTCCTTTTCATTACAACTGGCTTTAAGTTTATAGTTCTTGATTAGGATCTGCCTGAATTTAAATCATTTGCATCAGTGCCCTTCAAACAGTGTTCTTGAAATGCTAGAAAGGATTATATATATATATATTTACAATTTGCAATAAGTTTTGAATTTGTATTTGCTGCCATTAACATGAATATACTTGACTGGGACAAAAACATTGCTATGATCATAGGAATTTTGTAATTGTATACTTATTGCTAACTTTGTACATTTCATTTGTCATTTTTCTGTCCACATTTCCTCATTTTTGTTTCAATAACCAAATGCCTGGATCTATGCTTTATGACACACATATCTTTTTGAAATTAATACTCAAAATCCAGTTAGACATACAGTAATTCCAAATAAATATGCACAGGACTATTAAGATAGCCTTTGAGTGTAATTGTTTTCACTTGAAATTCACAAAAAATTTATAGGCTTTTGGTAATAACAACCAAAACTAGTCTGTGAAGAACTGTTTGCTGATTCCCATTAAATTTATATTCAGTACTGATAATTAACTAATTTGTTTAAAAATAAAAAAACCCCAATCCTTAGTTGATAGTTAATTGTAACACTGTTAAAAATGTCTCAGAAGGCATTTATGAAAATCAAATGAATCCAAGCAAAAATAATACCAGACTAAAAAATTACATAGTACTGACAATTAAATTAAAGTTAGTCATGGAAAGGTTGTGAAATAACCGTGTAGTTGAATTACCATCAGAATCAAGCTCATTTTCTAGGTTAGTATGTTGATCTTCACCACTAGAAATAATGTACTCGGGAATCTCCTCATTAGAAACTATCACAATATTATCACTCCGATCCTCATCTGTAAGAACATGCCGTAGTAAGATTAGTGAATTTTGGTCTTGTACATGCATCAATTCAATGAAAACATTAGTATTTTAGAGTTAGTTGAGCACATTAATCAACAGCACAGAAAGAAAAAAGTTAGTGAAATGTAACAATTGGTTGAGAGAAAAAAAATATTCATTTAAATATTACAGGTAGTTCTCAATTTATAACAGTTCATTTAGTGACCATTCAAAGTTACAACAGCACTGGAAAACTGATTTATGACCATTTTACATAGTTACAACCTTTCCAGCATCCCCATGATCATGTGATCAAAATTCAGAAGCTTGGTAATTGACTCATATTTATGACTGCTGCCATGTCCTAGGGTCATGTGATCCCCTTTGCTTCTCACAAGCAAAGTCAATGGGGAAGCCAGATTCACTTAACAACTGGGTTACTAACTTATCAACTGCAGTGATTCACTTAACAACAGATGCAAGAAAGGCCCTAAAATGGGGCAAAATTCACTTAACAAATGTCTCACGTAACAACAGAAATTTTGGGTTCAATTGTGGTTGTAAGTTGTGGACTACTTGTATATGCACAGTATCTGCAAGCAAAGCCTCTGAAAAGACGCTTTGCAGTAGCTGGAACATGTACAAAGCACTTCTTTTGAATGTTCTATTATGTTGTTTGGAAACTTGCTAAGCTGTGAGGCAATGTGTCAAATTCAAATTTAGTTTTCACCCAACTGAAATGTAGATGTTTCAGAAAAACGTAGTCCCACACTGCACCAAAGCAGATATTCTTGTCCTCTAAATCAAGTTTCTACTTTTTAAAAAAAATGCAAGTCTTATATATACCCATTTTAGCAAATGAGCATAGCAATAGTCAGAATTATCCCTGATTAGTTGAGAATATGAGTTCTTAAAACTAAAATACCAAAGGTAATAAGCCACACATGAAATCACAAGTACATGTACCCTCTGGTTTATGTTTCTTGCTGCCATTTTGTAGTTTACATAGTCGAGTGTTCCAAAACAATACACAATATGTCAAGATCAGTGGTGAAATCTTCTCTGGTTTGCTACTGGTTCGCTGGCCGCATATGAGCGGTACGTGCCAAATGCATGCTGCACTGGTGCGCACATGCGCAGTGCATGCCAAATGTATGCTGCGTATGTGCATGCGCAGTAGATGCCAAATGCATGCTGCGTATGCGCATGCACAGTAGATAATAATAATAATAATAATAATAATAATAATAATAATAATAATAATAATAATATAATAATAATAATAATTTTATTTCTATACCGCCCTTCTCCCGAAGGACTCAGGGCGGTGTACAGCCTATTTAAAAACAGAATAGACATCAGTTTAAAATAATTTAAAAGTATTAAATAAATTTGGCTTAATTTAAAACCCCAAAAATTTAAAACATTCAATTTAAAATTATGTTGCTAACCCAGCCTGGTGGAACAATAGGGTCTTGAGTGTGCAGCGAAATACCCGGAGGTCAGAAATCTTACGAATTTCTGGAGGCAGTTCATTCCACAGGGCTGGGGTTCCCACAGAGAAGGCCCTCCCCCAGTGTGTCGCCAGCCGACATAACTTGGCTGATGGCACCCTGAGGAGACCCTCTCTGTGGGAGCGGACTGGCCGGTGGGAGGCTATTGGTGGCAGAAGACGGTCTCGAAGGTACCCGGGTCCTGTGCCATGGAGCGCTTTAAAGGTGGTGACCAACACCTTGAATCGCACCCGGAAGACCACTGGGAGCCAGTGCAGCTTGCGCAGGAGGGGTGTCACGTGGGCGCAACGAGTTGCGCCCATAACCACCCGCGCGGCCGCATTCTGGACCAGTTGGAGCCTCCGAGTGCTCTTCAAGGGGAGCCCCATGTAGAGAGCATTACAGTAGTCCAACCGGGAGGTAACAAGGGCATGAGTAACTGTGCGCAGGGCGTCCCGGTCCAGAAAGGGCTGCAACTGGTGAATCAGGTGGACCTGATAAAAGGCCCCCCTGGCCACGGCCGTCATATGCTCTTCTAAAGACAGCCGTGCGTCCAGGAGGACACCCAGATTGCGAGCCCTCTCTGTGGGGGGCAAAGATTCACCCCCAATAGTCAGCGATGGCACCTGCTGACTATATCGGGACGCCGGAAGCCACAACCACTCGGTCTTGGAAGGGTTGAGTCTGAGCCTGTTCCTCCCCATCCAGACCCGCACGGCCTCCAGGCAGCGAGACATCACATCAAGGGCATCGTTGGGGTGGTCTGGGGTGGAGATGTACAGCTGAGTGTCGTCAGCGTACAGATGACACTTCACCCCAAAACCACGGATGATCTCACCCAGCGGCTTCACATAAATGTTGAACAGGAGGGGCGAGAGGACCGACCCTTGCGGCACTCCCCATGCGAGATGCCTTGAGGTCGACCTCTGTCCCCCTGCCAACACAAACTGCGAGCGGTCGGAGAGGAAGGAGGAGAACCACCGCAGAACCGTGCCCCCTATTCCTAACCCCCTCAACCGCTGCAGCATGATACCATGGTCGATGGTATCAAAAGCCGCTGAGAGATCTAATAGGACTAGGACAGAGGAGCAACCCCTGTCCCGAGCCCTCCAGAGATCATCCACCAACACGACCAATGCCGTTTCTGTGCTGTACCCCTGCCTGAAGCCTGACTGGCATGGGTCCAGATAGATAACTTCATCCAGGTGTCGGGGAAGCTGTCGTGCCACCACGCTCTCAACAACCTTCGCCACAAAACGAAGGTTGGAGACCAGATGGTAGTTGGCTAATTCAGCTAATTCCTTAATTAGTTGGCTAATTCCTTAATAATCACCGCCACTCCCCCACCCCTCCCCTGGGCCCTTGGCTGATGAAATGCACGGAAACCTGGTGGGCACATTTCGACGAGGGGAACCCCCCCTCTTGGCCCAACCAGGTCTCCATAATACCTGCCAGGTCCGCACCCCCCTCCGAAATAAGATCACAAATGAGGGGGGCTTTATTAACCACCGACCTGGCATTACACAACATCAGCCGCGGACCCTGGGCCTGAAACTCTGCGCACCCCAGGACACGAGTTGCGCATTGGGGGCTGGAGTGCGCAATCGCTTGGAGACAGCACATGCGCACCCCTGACACTTGATGTGGCCCCCTGCGTCCGCCATACCTGCCCCTCCCACTTATCACATTGATGGAACTGCCCTTTTTTTTGCCACCCGGAGCCCTGGTTAGATTACCCTTCTCGCCTCCTCCACTGCGCCCAACCAACCCACCACCCCGCACAGTAGTTATATGGACCCCCCCGGTCCATCTCTACAACCCCCTCCCCCCTTCCCGGGTCCCCTTAAAAACCCCTCCCCCCTCCCAGACCCTTTTAAAATACAAGATGAAAATTTGACTAAAAAACCCCACAACCTCCTCCTCGCTGCTTGCCACCTCTCTGGGTTCCAAGACCCTTCATCGAGGTGGGCCCTCGATAGCGTAGAGGGCCAAATCTGCGAGAGGGGGGAATCTCGCAGACCAAGAAGTTCAAGGGCGAGAAGAAAGCCAGGGGCACTCGGGACGGAGTCCAGCGGGAATCTAGCGAGTCCAGCGGCCTCCGCAGCGACGCAAAGATGCAACAGCTGCCGTAGCAACCTCGGCCGCCTCAGGGGGCGCCCAGCAACACTGCAAAAGCCTGGGGCAACCCCCCCATTCGGCCACCGAGGCCACGGCCTCCCCAGCGCATCCCAAGCGCCGGCTCTCCCAGCGTTCTCCCGGCTGCCCAATCGTGCCGACCGCAGCTGCAGCCTCTCAGCTGATCATCTCCAAATTCCACGCTGTCGCTGCTTCCTTCCGACGCTGGCAGTGCTGGTGGCGCTCCCCGACATCCTCACCAAGCCCGCAAATCATCGAGTCCAAGCCCCTAGATGTTCCGACAGCCAGGCGGGCCCTCAGTCAGACGCCAGGACCCCCGAATCCCCTCCAGGGAAGCCAGAAGCCTCCCCTCAAGGTAAGCTCACCAGCGTTTCGCAGCCATCTTGAGGCATGCGCAGAAGAAAATGCCAAATGCACACTGCATGCAGAAAAGGGAGGCTTGGGAAGGTACCCTGTTTCCCCGAAAATAAGACATCCTCTGATAATAAGCCCAATTGAGCTTTTGAGCACATGCACTAAAATAAGCCTCCCCCCGAAAATAAGCCCTCCCCAAAAATATTTTAAACTTAGAGCTGGAAATCAGGTAAGATGGCAAGAGGAGTGCCATCTTGCTCCATGCGCCCCAAAATAATAAGACCTCCCCGAAAATAAGGCCAAGTGCTTATTTCAGGGTTCAAAAAAATATAAGACAGAGTCTTATTTTCGTGGAAACACAGTAAGTAGAACAGCGGGGGGGGGGGGGAACAGCTGTGACGCGTGATTTAGATTCACTAGAAAGCAGGATTTCCTGCTTTCTAACGATTTTAAATTGCGCAGCAGAGCTGATCATTGGAAATACCAGTTCGGATCAACTGGTAGCTTTTTTTTTACTACTGGTTCGCCGAACCAGTAGCTTTTATCATTATCGGTTTGCCTGAACCAGTGCAAAACCGGTAGGATTCACCACTGGTCAAGATGAAAAAAAAATTGCTTAGATTCATTATATTTCAAAAAAGTCTTTTGCTGAAAATCTTAAATACTGATCCTGTGGTGATTTCAGTCTGTTGGTAAAATTGTGAAGTCACTCTCTTGTATAATTCCTGAATCATAATTCTAGTCTTACTGCCTCAGAAAATAGTTATCAGTCTTATTAACATAATTATGACTTCCTGGTTTGTTTCTGTCCAGGGTGTTTATATTTAGGGAAGGAAGACTGTAAATTCACCTCCTGCTATCTATGGACCAATGGATGGGTCAGAGCATGACTCATATCTATATAAATTTTATTAAAGAATTATTTAAGGAATAAAAACAAAACAAGAATAAATATCATACTCTGAACCCATGAAAAGCAACTGGAGTGAGAAATGTAATAACTGTGACAAAATGTGAAGAATGAACATCAT